AGAGCAGAACTTAAGTGTTAGTGTAGTTACCCATGCCCATGTAGATTATCTGATTTCACGATAAAAAATGTGAAGCCTATTGAAGACCACCATTTCTGAACTTCTCAGGAACTTGAATTATGGCATAGATATTTTGTTTGCCATTTTATAGGAAGTGAAAAAAGCCAGATATTTTGGACAGAATTTTCTGATGATTGCCTTTCATATGTGTAGGCTTGGATCCATAACTTTCACTTCTGACATTTCTAAAGCAGAATTTTGCTACTTAGTAAAATAAAAAATAAAAAACATCCTCAGTAAAAATTGGAATAATAATAATGTAATCATGCCACTGTAACTACTATATCAGTAGGAGAGAAATAGTGGATTACTGGATCCATGCCCTGTTACATATCACCCCTGAAATTGTGTTTCTATGATTGTATAATAATCAGAAGCTTTGAACAGCTAGTTTAAACTAGGTAGACTTCTGGTTAAAAAGAGATTAAAGCTACCACTGTGATTAGGGCAGCATTTCAAAAAGTTTCAGCAGTCAGGCAGGGTAAACATTGTAGACCTTTCTGCACTAGTCTGTGTACCCTAGAGAGAACACCAAAGAAAAACTGCAGAAGCTTCTCTGGAATTTACTTCTAATACATAATGTCACCCAGAGGAAATATCTAACTGTTTGTGTCTTTGAAAAAGATCCCGCTTTCACATGTTCATTCCTCATGCATGAAGATGATTTTCCAATAATTAATCATAAGACAAACCCAAGAATTATACTCTTATTTAGAAAATGTGAGTAGACAACTCTCTACAGAGGTCTAGAAACTCTTAAAGCCCAAAATAATTATAAACAGAAATGAGGTTGATGTGGCTTCCAGGCATTGTTTTCTGAAAGGATTAATTATATTAAAAAAAAAATCTGCACTCCCTGGAAAAAAATACCCTTGTTTTTATAAAGCATAACATTAACATTATTTAGTCAACAAGACTAAAATGAAAACAGATCAGATGTAACACTTCGTAATATATATATATGTATATTCAGTATGTGGGTTAGCTTTGTTTTTAAAGAAAAACACACTGTATAGCTGTGAAGAAATTTAATCAGGCTTTGTATTCTTTTGTGTTGCTTTTCATAGAATCATCGAATGAGAAAGAGTGCCGGAATGGGCCTTCAGCCCATCCCTACCATGCCCATTAAACCATGTCCCTCAGTATCACACCCACAAATTTCTAGAATGCCACAAGGGACTGTGATTCCTGTGATTTCTGAGAATAAATTTTTCCTAATATCCAACCTCCCCTGATGCAACTTAGGGCTGTTACCTCTCATCCTATCACCAGTTTTCTTAGAGAAGAGGCCTACCGCCACATCACTACAAGTGTCATTTAAAAATCTCCAAACCGGAACAAACGTTTTATGAAAGAATTACGCATGCTCATCCAAAAGAGGAATATCTCTCACAAGCTGAGAGGTTGTGGCACTCATGTTCTTAGCTTTAATGCACTCTCAAATGAAAAGGGATCTTATAAAAATTCAGATTTACATAAGGAGATTTCTAATACCTGCCTGCTTGAACCCAAGTCCTAAGAGCCAGCATCCTTCCTAATGCCTGTACCAAAAGAATTTAACCCTTATTCTATGTAAAGGTGTCATCCTTAGCTCACATAAAAGTTATTCTTAGAAGCTATAATGAGGTAATCTTCCTCCTTTCTTCCTATTTCAAAGTTTCCACATATGTTTTACCAAGCTCCTTTGTGATCTTTAATTCCCGACATTCCTCTAAAGCATTGCTATTAAGGAACAAAGGCTGAAACCTAGTATGTCTTTCTTGTGGGCTTTTGTTCAGGGAAGGGGGAAGGTCCTGGTTAGATAAGTTGAAAGAGAGCCTAACAATAAACAGCAGGATAAGGCAATTTTCACAGCAGTACAATCTTCTATTAATTGTGGATTGAGGATTAATCTGTTTCTTCTAACTTGTGAGCCCCCTATTTATTTATTTATTTGTTTGTTTGATTGTTTGTTTGTTTGTTTGTTTGTTTATTAATGCCTTCCTGAAGCACTGGTTTAATACAGGGGGACTGAAATAAAGTGTATGCAAATCAAACTTTTCTTGCCCCACTTGTCCCAGTGCTAGTCCATGCAGTGGATATAAATGCTTATAAATCCTGGTCCCTGAATCTCAAAGTTTACATTGTTCATGGAATAAGTTAATAAATGGCACTGTATTACACTGCTGGAACCAAAGTAGAAACAACTGGGTTGCAAATCCCTTGTCTTTTAATGCACTCTTATTTCAACATAATATAAGCATTTTATATAGACCGTACTTAAGAAAAGGTGTTATTAATTTGCAATTGTGATAGAAACTGAAAAGACATATTTTAAAGGTACTGACACAACTGAATGTGACTGAACTAGTGCTACAGGCAAAGCTAAATGGTCTACCTGACCATCAACATACTTTTAGCATGTCTCAGTGATGAGCTTATGCATTTTATCTTACAACTACATTAGTTGTATGTCACCTCAGCCGTTAGAATGCAAATAGTTGAGTCACTGTAAGATGACAATATTTAATTTTGTCTCCATAAACTCAGTCATGTAAGTATTGATATAAGACAGATAAGGCAGTACTAAACATGCTATTAAAAAAGACAAATAAAAAGACATTAATATTTTAATGTGCTTAAATACTAAATAGGTTTATCTGATATTTTTGGATGGATTGTTTGCTTTTCCTTGAAGCAGATAAGTGTGCTTTTTTACTCCATGCCCTCATTCATTTTCACACCTTTTTCCCCCAGAGCTCAGTACTGAGTCCACTCCTATTCAAAATCTTTATCAATGATCTTGATGAGAGTTTGAGTGGTAGAAAGGCATTACAGATGTACCTAGATAAACTAGATTGATGAGCCAATGTAAACTATATAAGTTTCAGTAAGGCCAAATGTCGGGTCCTGCATTTTGATTACAACAATCCCAGGCAACCCTACAGGCTTGGGGAGGAGTGGCTGGAAAGCTGCCTGATGGAAAGGAATCTTGGTGTACTGATGGACAGTCAGCTGAATATGAACCAGCAGTGTGCCCAGGTGACAAAGAGGGCCAATGGCATCCTGGCTTGTATCAGGAATGGTGTGGTAAGCAGGACTAGGGAAGTCATCCTGCCCCTTACTTGGCAGTGGTGAGGCCTCACCTCGAGTACTGTGTTCAGTTTGGGGCACCTCAGTACAGAAAGGACATTGAGGTGCTGGAGCAGGTCCAAAGAAGGGCAACAAGGCTTGTGAAGGACTTGGAGAATATGCCCTATGAAGAGTGACTGAACGAACCGGGGCTGTTTAGTCTGGGGAAAAGGAGGCTGAGGGGAGATCTTATTGCTATCTTCCAATACCTGAAAGATGCTTACAGTGAGAGTGGGGTTGGTCTCTTCTCACTGGTGACAGGATGAGAGGAAATGGCCTCAAGTTGTGCCAGGGTAAGTTTAGGTTGGATATCAGGAGAAACTTCTTTACAGAAAGGGTGGTTAAACATTGGAATAGGTTCCCCAGGGAGGTGGTTGAGTCACCATCTCTCAATGTGTTTAAAATCCGTTTGGATGTGGTGCTCAGGGACATGATTTGTTAGAATTAGGGTAGTATGGTTAAGTTAGGTTGTGGTTGGACTTGATGATCTTTAAGGTCTTTTTGAACCTGAGTGATTCTATGATTCTGATTTAATTCTTATTGAAGAAGTGATAGAATGTGCACCTTTGAGCAGTATTACGAACTAACTCTAACTTCCACAAACAGATGTACTTACCGAATACATTGACAGTAATAATCTTTGCCAGTGTTCAAAGTTCTGTTGTGAAAAGTCCTAGAAAACAAAAACCTGTAGTAGAACTCCTCACTGCTTGAAATCCTTTCTGCTGGCCTGAGCTTGTTACTCAACAAATGCAGTTTGCTGACAGTGATTTAAAGCCAGACACCATAGTATATTAAAATATAATCCCTTTGATAGAATAAATACAAATCAAAAGTGAAAGCATAGCTGGCACCTCTGAGTATAAAACATCATATTGGTGCTAAACTAGCTACAGATATTAGAATAAACCGTGTTTGACAGTGAAAAAAGACCTTAGGCAATGTACCTAGCATCACATCAAAGGGAGACTGAAACTATCTTTCTGTTACATATAGTTATTGATCACTGAGATAAAACTACAGTAAACAAAATACATTGAATATGTCAGCCTGTGCTGCTTATCTTTCTCAAGCAGGCCACTGACATCTCTCAAGAGCAAGTAGGTTGGCACTTGAAAGCTATGTAAGACTTCAAAGGAAATGTTACACTGGAAAGGAGTCTTGGGAAACAGTGCTAGAAAAAGCCTGAAGAAAATCAAAGTACCCATTCAGAGAAACAGCGGGACATACACTACATAGATTTTCACTTCAGTTTTGACTGTGAAAAGTTCTGTTCTTTTTACTTTGGTAGAATGCCACAAGGAGCATCCTTGAAAAAAAAAAAAAAAAGGCTTTTAACTTTTAGCCTGGCTCAACAGTATAACCTTGCTGACTGAAGGAGGCAACGATCATCTTACTGTTTACTTGGTGCTATGCTATAAAATACCATACTCCTTTTTAAAAACATTTCATTATTTTCATATTAAATTTCTTATTATGCTTTTGGAAAGTGTTAGAAGAGAATTAATTTTAAATGTGTATCCAGTTTTCATTTAACTATAGTGCACAGAAAGAATGAATTGAGAAATAAAATAAAAATTCCAACAGCAAATGCAAACCCCTAAGCTGAGTGTGACTTTAACATGTTCATTTTCAGAATGTTCAGACTTCAACAAATGTATGGAAACTGCTGAATCATATCCTGAACCTCTGATTGACCACCTGAGGCAAGCAATGAGTCAACCCTGGGAGCACAGGTGAAGGCAATTCTCCTGTGCTCCTGGAAGGGGTGAAGCCTTGCTCCACCTCTCCTAGACCCCATTTAAGAGCTGACTACTTCTGGGGAAGGGTCTCTTTTGGAGATTGCTTCTCTTGGAGCCTTCTCAGCAAGTTTAGGATAAGGGTAAGCTTTCCATCCATTGTTTAGTGTGATAATTTGTTGAGCCTGACCTTCTTGTATATTTCTTAATTGCAACATCTGTATATTCATTGATTATGCAATGGGCTTTGAAAGTCACAAGTTGTTAAACTATGTTTCGTTGTCAAATGTACCACTGGGATGTTTGTGGTTAGTTAACAGGTGATAGTACCAAAGGAAGGTTTCAGAGTTTTTTTTCTTTCAGTGCAAGCAATAATTCTCAAAGCAGTTTTTTCATCCTTGTGAAGGTGTGTGCAATAGCACATTCATACACTACCACCATTCACTTTCAAGCTGTTTGAGAATAAGATACTTCCATAGCGTCTCTCACTCTTTACTTCAGGCCTAAACAAAGTAAAACAATCAAGGAAACAAAACAACAGCATAACCACCACCAAATTAACAAGATTTTAGAAGCCTTTTTTCAATAATCATATTGAAATTAAATGTTTTTTCAAGTTTAGCATGTGTATACTGAAACACACTGAGTAAAAAGAAAGTTATTGGCAGAGTCATGATCGGGGCTGATGTTATTAGCTCTCTAATACAGTTACAGCTACTATTTACTCTATCAAATAGTGTAAATACCTTCTCAGGATCAAGTGTTTTCAAAATCCAGTTTTTACAAATGCATTTTGTTGTCATAAGCATATTTATTTGTTTCTGATTATGTATTTATGCAAACTTATGCTGGAGATTGTTATGGATACTTATTGTCTGAGAACAGTATGGCCAGTAGAAAGGACTCACAAAAAACAAACACAACACCACTTCCCTGTTAATGCTAAAGCTAAAAGCAATTTGAACTTGCTGTACGTGGTATTAATAAGTATTTTCTGACAAAATAATATAAGGTGAATCTTCTAAAGCAAATGATTTCATGGTCTTCATGATTTGTAAAACTCTACTTAGAAATATGTGATGTTAATGAGGAATTGAGTAATAATTCTTTATTACACTTGTCAGAAGACTGTAAACAGGGGGAAAGGCAATGTAAAGCTTCATCCCAGATTACTGCATAATATGTTAATAAAATGTGCAACTAAAATTCCAGTACATATTAAAGTTACCAACAGTGTGCTTCTCTATTGATTAGTATTTCTGTATTGGCTTTTGTTTGGTGAAAGAGCACAGATAACATAGAAAGACATTCACCTTTTTAGGGTTAATTTCTGTTAACAGTATTGTGCATCAAGGAACATTTTGAACAGGGATATAACCTACTTGCCTGAAATTGCTAATCTCTGAACTTCAGAGTATACTGAAGGCCTAGTCAAAGAAGATGCCAGAACGTCAGGCAAAACCTCCCCACAAAATTCTGCTAAATAAATTTGTGCTAACTTATTGTGAACAATCTGAGTTCACCGTCTCTTAGAATTTTTTCAGTCTATAACTGGAGAAATGACCATTTGCATGTGACGCAGAAACAGAAGTAATGTGGAGAATTGTCTCAATGTTTAAAGAAACTGCTCCTTGTTGGTCTTCTACAGCTGTGCTGCTTTATTATAAATAAAAATTTGCTTCTGCCCCTGTTTAGCATATTTTCCTTCAAATAAGTCTTAAGTTAGTTCTTGGAGGTAATTGAATTATGTAAGTAAGAAAGCCAGAAGCAGATGTGAAAACTCAGGAAAAAGCAAATAAATGAATTGATAGCCCCCAACAGAAAACAGGCTTTATAGCTGTTTTATTTTCTGTGAGGCACTTTCTCCTTGGTCCCAGTTTGGCAGAATATTTATCCCATGTGTTATTTAAGGCAAATAAATAGTCTAATTGACTTCAATGGGACTACTCTTGTTTAAGGAATCACATGGGTTTAAATACCTTATTGGATCAGAATACTAAGCGTTGGGGTTTTCACTGGCTGGATGGAGACTTGCTATTGAGTTGCTGTTTTTACTACTGTGGCAATAAAACTTGAAACTCCTCTGAATACACTGAGATGGGGACTTTCAGACTAAAAATGGAAATGTGTGAAACTTTGTTATTGTTCATATGCTTTCCTCACATTCACAGCTCATGCCTAGAAATTAGTTATGCAGACACTCACCTTGGACGCACTTCTAACTGTGTATACGCATTTATATAGATGGTCCCAAGTCATCACCATTTTAAATCTTTAAGAATGAAAAATTTCTACTGAAAGAAAAAAGGATCTGGAAACTCTACGCGTTTTTGGTGATGAAGTATATGTTTGAGAGTCTATTACTTAGCATAGATTCCATCAGACACTATTTCCAGTGTCAGTGGATGCTGACTTTGCTGTTTCTGTGCTGTGGCTCAGACATAAAACCTGACTACTACATATGAGTGTACTACTAAAAATTTAGTACATGTTGTTGTGTATGTATTCTAGTTTTAACTACAATGTGTCAGCTTAAGCCTCTTTCCTCAAGTTTCTTTTGTCATGTTTGACATTTTGTTGTGGCTGTACAGTCTGCTACTGTGGCTTACTTGAGGCAAAGAAACTCTTTAAGGCACATTTCAATTATCTCATGCAAAAATTCTTGTTTAAAATGGAGTTTTTTTATTTTTCCTAATGAAATTCATAGGTTATGAAGTTCAAGGTGGATGCGAAGAGACAACAGTGCTGTGCCTCAGACACAAAACTACATCAAAATGTGATAATTCTGGTGAGGCTGAAAGTATGTGCTTATAGCCATCTGGAGAGCACCTTTAAAATGAACTCTTGTGCTGAAACTCTTAATGGCAAAGGGTTATTCTGATGCTCTGATTCAAAGAGACAGTAGAGTAAGTTCCATAGTGTAGCTGGTTTTAGAACAATCTGCTGACTCTGCTCAGAATTGACTATGTAGTCACCAAAGGTTCCTTCCAACCTCAACGGTTTCTTGAGTCTGAATCAACATTTGCATTTCAATCACCTTGAAGGTGGGGGAATGGGTTCACTTCAGGCATGGATTTCTTCCTTTTAGAAGACTAACAGTAAGCTTTACTGTTGATGAAGGCTGAAGGGAATGATGTGCACTGCCTTTTTCCATTATTGGTTTTACTTATTGCTGTGTATGTTCCTTGGATAACAGCAGGGAAGCCGCTGCCCATCTAACTCTGCTAGCAGCAAAATACAGGCATATGCTAACAATCCCAATATCCAGGTCAACATACAACAGTTTCAAACAGTTACAGAATAGTATATAATCCATCACATTCAGGCTAAATAACTGGATTTAATAGAGTACTTAGATTTTATAAGCATTTGAAATAGCAGTTGGTTAGTAAAACCCTATAAAACTGAGGTTTTATAGTAATACAATATGTATGTATCCATTACACAACTAATCCTGTCTGAATTTGCTTTTAACAATCAGTTAGTATTTATTGATTGTATTGCCCAATAACTGTCTAGTTAAATTCATAACTGGAAAACTTAATTTGAAGTGGCACTAGTAGTTTCTCATTCAAAGTGAAATAAAAAGTGTAATATATGTGACATATCTTTGAAAAAAATCATCAAAGCTATTGAAGCACGAGACTTTTCAATTTCATTTTGTTCATTACAGTCAGTGAGACAATCACATAACATTTCTTACTGTTTAAGTAGGAAATGCAGCTCAGAGACTGTCTACTCACTGACAGACTGTTATTGCCTATATGGAAAAAAAGAAATTGCATTGCAGAGAAGGATTCATTAGAACATTAAAACACCACACCTATAGTTTCTCTTCCTACGTTTCTCTTTGCAAATTTTTTTGAGTATCTGAATAGTGTGAAGTAATGGGGAGAGCAGTACAATTTTTTTTTTTTTTTTTTTAGACTGATTAAATCAACTTTGGGGGTTGGACTCGCTGATTTCTGGAAGCCCCTTCCAGCCCCTATGATTCTGTGATTCTGTAACTACAAACTACTTGGCTGCAATTGTTGAATGTGATGCAGAGACAGTGATTTCTTGCAATACCTGCACCTTTGCTTTCAGTATATTTCAATGGGAAAAAATCCTGGTTAAAAGCAGCAGGTAGAACAGTTTTGTTTTGTGATGCCAGAAATCAGAGTCCTTCTGAATCCTGTGTGGAGAAGAGGGCTCCTACAATCTGCTGAATAAAATGGGAAGCTATGCATCATTTAGATTATAAGTACAGATTGTGGAATAGCCCAGTTGTCTTATGTGTCATATTAGATATGTTTGGACTTTTTGAGCACATAGAATTCAAGCATTTCATGAGGTATTTAAAGCACTGCAGGAGTAGAATCTAATTTAGACTATATTTTTAGCTGAAATGTAAATGTAGCAGTTTAGATACTGTTCATCAACTGATTTACTTGCAGAGAGACAGTTGCAGTTTACTTGCAGTTTGGAGAGCTGAGACACAGATGATCTCAACTAGTTATTTATCTTGCTTCTTTCACAGAGCATGATGTTTCTTCCAGGGTATAGAAACCTTTTTAACTATGGACGTATTTGATTAATAAAAGTTGTAATGGAGGGAAATCGTCACTTTTTGAAGGAAAAGAAACACACAACTTGACTGCTCAAATAAATGCTCTATATCCAGTAAATGATCTATATCCAGTCACCCAAGTACTGAGCTTGAATTTGTCATATTAATGTGTGTGTATATATATATACACAACAAATGTGTTACATCATGTTGTATAGAATCTAATTGTTCCACTAAAAATATTAAAGATAAAATAGTTGTTAAAATAAGCACTTTTCAATTTTTTTATACATAACCTTAAATTCAATAGCTAGTAGAATTTTCTCATTATGAAGGACATGATTAATACTCTGTGAGATTAGGAAAATGTGGCTGGTGAAATGACTTTCTATTTTATTTTAACATCTTCAGGGTCAGTAGCCTAAAGCAAGTTCAATTAAACGTCTTTGTTTTTAATTTAAAATAGATTGTCTGGCTCATACTTTAACACTTCATCTGGAGGCTCTATATTTCTGGATGAACTGTTTTTGAACATTTAAATATTCAAGAAAAGCTGTCAGAACACCTGTGAAGTTAAGATCTATGCGGAAAAAAACAAATTTTATTCTATACTCACACTTTCCATTAAAATGTATCTATGCCGAAGTTAATAATGCTCCAGAGTTTTACACAGCAATTACTGCTCTAGTTCTACATAAAAAAAATTTGGGCTCTTTGTATGTACAGCCTGAGTTGTCTGGATACTTTGTTGAGGACTTAAAGTTATAATGTTCTCATCTGTAATTCTATTTTCTATTTTCCTTTTTCTTATATGCATATTTGACACACAAGGAAAATTTCCAAGAGACAGAGTATCATAAATGTAATAATGAAAGCAAGGTAAATAGAGTATTCTAGCACAGGTATAAATATAAATTCTTAAATAAGGGAAAATAAGACAAGACGGTACGATAAACAAACTGAATACCGTTAGGGTTGCAAGGAATGCCTCAGACCAAATTAATACAGGAAAGAATGCAAACTTCATTTATTGTCTTCCTGGGAGCAGGGAAAGGCAGATTGAAATGTTGAAAATTGTTCCTTTCCAGAAATATGATTAAAAGTTGTCATTCTGAAAATCCATGCAAAATGTGTTAAAACATAATACAGAACTACTGAAATGCTTTGTTTTCCTTTTCACCTTTATTTCAACTCATTTTGTATGTAAAGATGCAATGGTATGTCATACTTGAAGGTAAAGTAAAAAGAAATAGCTCCTGTTTAATGGTTAAAATTATGTAGTCCTGAAGCACTTGAATCAAAGAAAACAATTGAAGACACGCTGTAATGGCTGTCCAGTTCTAGAAGCAACTATATGACATTGAGTTCCTGGCTATGGACTTATCTGCTGATTCATACATAGAGGAACCACAAGAACGGGAAATACCTGATCATTTACACACACTTTTTACCTGCCAAAAGGATATAAATGCAATTTACTTCAGTTCTTAAACCACAGTTGATTTCATGAAAAATATTCATGGGTGTTATAGGTATAGGCTGGTGTAGTTATTCTTCTTCTTCAAGTCTCATAAGATGCTGTGTTTCAGATTTGTGATGGAAACCAGTGGTCACAACGCGCTCGTTCTTCTTGTTGCACAGCAGTGCTTGAACAGAGCCAAGGTGTTTTCAGCTTCTCATGCTTTTCTGCCAGTAAGGAACTGGGAGTGCCAAGCAGCAGGGATGGGGCACAGCCAGGACAGCTGACCCCAACCCATCAAGGGATATCCCATACCATATGGCATCATGTTCAGCAATATATGCTGGGGAAAGAAGGAGGAGAAGGGGGATAGCAGGAGTGATAGCACTTACCTTCACACATAATGAGCTCTGCTTTTCTGGAAGTGGCTGAACATCTGCTTTATATTGGAAAGTAGCAAATGAATTACTTTTTGTTTACCTGTTAATTGAGGTAAAGACAACAAGTTCTAGCACATTTTCTTTTGATTCTCTCCCCTGCCCTGCAAGGGGAGTGAAAAAATGGCCATGTGATGCTACTAGGGTTGCGCCACCACAAGTTCAACAAATATTGGAAATTCTCATTTAGAAGGCTTGCTATACCTATGATTAAGTGTATTTAAAAAAAAAAAAAAAAAAGTGAAATCACACTCTGTTTCTTTCCAAGAAGCTTCAAATCTTTAATGTTGAAGTAAGATATTGCTACCCCTTTCTCTTTGTTCTAGACTGAAATTTAAGTCTCCTATACTGATGAAGAACTGTGAATTATAAATACTATAGCTATAATAAATAAGGTGTAACAGATTAACAGATTTCCAATCTTAATATTCCTTTTGTTATTAACTAATTATATAACTTGTGTTCTATTTCTACTTTTTGCAGAAACAATGCTCAGGTCCTTCTCAAAAGATCTTCCTATCAATAAACCATTTTTCTGAATATTAGCAATGTGAAAAAGAAACTCTGCAGAACAGTAGACAAGTTATGTAGCAAGTTTAATAACCACTCTAAAACTTAATTTCTATTTAATTGCTTTAAGTGTAAACCTGCCAGTCAAGACACAAAAATGTGTATTGTGCTACTAGTAAAGTCACTGTAGGAATTATAATTTGATATTTGCACAATATGAAATGAAATCTGAGTTGATGCTGTGACAGCCAAGGAAAATCATAGAGGAGTAATTTAAATTTCACTATTTCAAATGGTTTTTGAAGCTAAAATCTATTTTTATAACCTCAGTGACAAAAGGAAATGTGGAGAAAATATAAGAAATGTTTACAAGTACATGCTCCACATACTAAAATTCTCTTTATGACTGTCAGTTTGAGTCTTGGCCCTGGTGGTTGGAAGCTCTACTAAAGTAATTTTTTTGCTCTAAAACTATTCTACAGTGGGGCCTGTGAAAAGTTGATCATTCATTTGTGTTTGCCTGTATTTCTTTTCTTAGATAAAAGTTTTTAAGGTAGGCAAGATTTGTCTGTATTTTAAAAACCATTATTAACCTAGGCAGACAATAAAAGCAGGTGACAAAGTGAGTTCATGAGCAACTATGTAGATCCTTTATACTTATTAAAAATACCTGTATTTTTCCTAGGCATTAAGGAAAAATGTGTGTCCTTCAAGTAAAAATCTCAGTTCTTGCAATATGAAAACATCATCTCCATTATCTACTCTTCTTGCACTGTGTTAGTTCTTTTTAATTTCTGTAAAAAAAGAAAAATTACCAGAATTCGAGGGTATGTCTATATGTAGATGATATACATGCTCTTGCTATTCTTTTCTAGTAAACGTTTTAACTGTATTTGGTGCAAAAGTCTTGAGAAACGTGGGATCCCTTGAGGAATTTTAGTCTTTTCTTCATGTTTCTGAAGAGATGTACTCCAAGAGTATTCTTGGAACATTCAGGGAGATTGCTGAACATATGTTAACAGGATCAAGTTCTTCACTGATCTCTCAGAATGACAGCAGTTACTGTATATGAGCCAGGTGTTTAGGAACCTCTAATAAAAAATAAATCATGAGCTCTGGATTTTTTTTTTTTTGCCTGTTTCTCCCATCTGGAAGATTATCTTAACCACCACTATTGTGCAGTGTAATTTCCAATCTTTAGATAAAGACTTTTTGATTTTTTTTTCATCTCTTCTAGTTAAACGAATCAGCAAAATGTCTATTATTTCTTAGGAAAGGTATGCAGTGAAAGAAGTGCTTAGCTCTGAAGTCATGGCAAGTAGTATTATCAGCTGAGATGAAGAGCATTATTTTTGTTATTGCTCTTTTTATTGGTAAGATAATATATAGAAGCCAAACACTAGGACAGGATAACAGGTTTCACAGTTCTTATATGATCACCTTAACTCTGTCACAAAGCAAAACATTATTTCTTCATCCATATCCACTGACAAGTCCTCAATCTGCTATGTCTCAACTCTTTTCTACAGTGTGATACATTTTCAGCAAGGCCCTGTCTCCCATTTGGGCTTCATGGGGTTTTAGGTATGTCCTTAAATTTCTAGAGATTTGCTGTGAATCTTCATTTCTGAGACAAATTTATCTGTTCTTGGAGCACCTACTTTTCTCCAGCAGTAAAAGTGTCTGTGCATATTTAGATACTGGGCCAGTCCAAGAAAATGCATGAGTTGAGATTTCAGAGTGACTACTCCTATGCAATAGTTCCCATATTTCTTTGTCCTTAGCTGGAAAAGAACTTAAAAATACAGCCAAAAATTTTTTGCTTTTAATCAATCTCAATAAAGAGTACAAGATTTATAAATGAAACCCTGAAGCTACTCATTTTCCCTTCTTACGTTAGAAATCTGTGGTATTGCTTTGAAAGTACTGATATAATTGCTTTTTTGTACACAGTTTTATTGCATGGATTTTTTCCTTATTTTATAGATTGTTTAAAATTTTCATTTGGATGACACTTTAAAAAGAATTACTGAAATTTAGTTTGAATTAAAGTTAATACAGATTTATACATATCTAAAGAAATGTTCACCTTTTATTGGTAGAACAGATGGTTCATAAGAAGTACAAATTATGCACATTAATCATGCAAATAAGTTTAATGCGCTGATCTCTCACAGGCTCTATATGTATACACTTTAGCATACTACTAAGATTACTGTAGAACCATGGAATATCCTGAGTTGGAAGGGACCAGCAGGGATCAAGTCCAACTTGTGGCTTCACGCAGGTTCATCCAAAATTAAAAGCGTGTCTGAGAGCACTGATAAATGATTCTTCTTTCCAGCAAGCTTGAGGCCCTGACCACTACCCTGGGGAACAAGTTTCAGAGTCTGACTGCTATCTGAGTGTTTTTCCTGATATCCAACCTGAGCCTTGAACCTCCCCTGATGCAGCTCCATGCCATTCCCTTGGGATCGTTGTTGAGATCATTGTTACTATCATTGTTACTAGAGAGAAGAGGCCTGCCCCTAATCTCCCTTTGTAAGGAAGTTGTAGTCCTCATGAGGACTCCCCTCAATCTCCTCTTCTCTGGGCTGAATAGTTCAATGGATGTCAGCCATTCCCCATGATAGTCATGCCCTCTGGACTCTTCACTGTCTTTGAAAGCTCTCTGCTGGTTTCACATCCTTCCTGTGGCACCCAAAACTGTTCACAGTACTTGAGGTAAAGCCACTGCAGCTCATAGCAGTACAGGAGAATCGCTTTCATTCACTGGGATTGATGCTGGGCCATATATACATACGTGTGTGTGTATGTATGTATGTATAAATATATATATATATACGCACTCCAGGGTATGGTTGGCCCTTCTGGCTGCTAGAGCACACTGCTGACTCATGTTTGACTTGCTATTAACCACATCTGTTTCAGTGGGATTGCTCTCCTGCCTCTTTTACTTGTCTGTACTTATATGCAGTTACTCTGTCCCAGGTGCAAAATCCAGCACTTCCTCTTGTTGAACTTCATGTGCTTCCTGATTGCCCTGCCCTCTAATTTGTCAAGATCTCTCCATCTTTCTATCCTCAAGGATAGTGAACAGCTCCTCCTAATTTAGTGTATTCTACAAACTCAGTTCTTCAAGTTCTGCGTCCAAGACACTGGTGAAAACATTTAATAAAATTCATCCGAAAATGGAGCTTTTAGGAACTTCACTAGTGACTGGCTACCGGCTTGCTGTAACCTCATTTACCCTTTGAGCCTGGCTTATCAGCCATTACATTTTATTTTTGTTTAGCTGTATGGTGAACATTTAGTGCAGAAGGATTCTGTGAGTAAAAGTATCAAAATCTTTGCATAAATCAAAAAAGCATTACAACTAGCTTCCCTTGCTCAACTAGATGAGTAACTTTCATAAAATGTTAAATGGGGCTTTCTCCTTGTGAGCTCATGTTGGTTTTAACAAATAAATACATTCTTTCTCATGTGTTTTTCAATAAGTCCTGGAATTATTTTCTCAATATTGTCTACCTCTAAAGTGACACTGACAAAACTGGATCTTCATTCTTTCAGTTCTTGAAGACTGGGACAATGTATGCCAACTTCTAGTTGACTGGGACTTATCCAGATTCATGAAATTATTGAAAAATAATTAAGAGAGATTTTAGGACAATGCCAGTCAGTTCTTTACATACAGTAGGATGAATCCTACTGAGCCCAATATACTTACATGCATCCAGCTGAAGTAGTAAATCCTGCGCAAGTTCAGGGTTGGCTGGGATTTTATCTTTACTAAAGTCATAGTTCTCCAACTCAGGATTTCAGGGTTATAATAATTGGTATTGAAGACAGAGGCAGAGAAGGAATTACATATTTCTTCTTTGTTGGCATCTCTTTTTGCCAGATGACCATCCCTCGTCAAAGAACAATGTTATCTCTGGTCATCCTTTTGCTATTAACACATTTATAAAAGCCCTTTTTGTTGTGTTCCACAGTTTTGGTCAGCTTCAAGTTTAATTGAACTTTGGCTGTACTAGTTTTCTCCCTGCAATGTTGAACAGTATCTCCATAATCCTTCCATATTGCTCAACCTTGCTTCTAATGGCCATACAATCTGTTTTTACGCCTAAACTCTAGAAGAAAATCCCTGCTCAGCCAATCCAGCCTTCTGACCTGCTTGCATCAGGAAGTAACCAGCGCTGATGAACTACAATACCTTTAAATGCAATTTGTCAAGGGACCTTGCTCTCTAATTCCCTAAGCAGTCTGTAGTCCGTAGTCCGTAGTACCGCATATTCCCTGAGTTGAAGTTTTGGAGGCAGTTTTCCTCCTATGACAACTGCCACACCGTGTCCTGTCTACCACCCCTCACCTGAACATTAAGGCACATTCACTGCTGCCATAGCTGAATTTTACACAGTTGATAAATGTGTTTTTCCTTTCTTCATTACATCTTACTGCTCCTGATAGAATAGTTTTACTGGATATACACAACATCATCTAAATCCTGTATATAAAAAATACCATTCCTAAAATCATCTTTCTTTTCCATTTAATTTACTTATTACTTCAAGAGATAAACCTCGGTAAGCTTCTTGTCTCTTTTTTAAACGCAATTGCATTTGGCTTAGAGTTTGACACAGAAAATTTGAACATTTTAGTTTGATACAGCAGAACATTTCTTTGCCTGCTCACCTGATTTCTATAGCTACCTTAAGGGAGGTTGCTGTGAGGTGGGAATTGATCTCTCACATCATTATCAATAGCACTAAGGGGAATGGTCTCAAGTTGCACCATGGGAGATTCAGTTTGGAAGTTGGGAAATAGGTTCTTCTCAAGGAGAGTGGGCTGCCCAGGGAGTAGTACTGAGGAACATGGTTTAGTGGGAAATATTGGTGATTGGTGGATGGTTGGACTGGATGATCTTAGAAGACTTTCCCAATCTTGGTGAATCTATGATTTTATGGAAAGCAATTGCAATGGCTACTTTCATGCTTAAGCTGACAACAATAAATATTATATTATTTTATTTTTGATTATTATAATTTGGAACATTCATGAGTCTCTCTCATAAATAAACAGCAAATGTTACTAAAATAAACCTCAGAGAACTCAGTGTCTGATACATTTATTAGAACTAAATCAGACCACACTGCATAATTTAAATCATGCATAGTTTCCTCTCCGCTGTTCAGCTACAGACCTGTAGTCAATCAGAATTTTTTTTCCAACTTGGTTTCTACTCTCCAATCTTTAATATAATCATTTCAACTGTGCTTTTTATTTTGATATGAATTTTGTATATTAGAAAATACATCACTGAAATAATATAAATACACACAGTTAGCAATAATGTCAACTTTCACTTATTCATATTGTCCTAAATTGTTCTTAAGGCTATTTTTATGACAATGCTTTTCCAAAAGATAACTCATTTTAATACTTGAACACAATTTATTTTTTCTTTCAAAGGAAAAACCTGTTTAATTTTATATATATTTTTTTCCAAGATTATGACTTTTTATTATCCCTGTGAATGCTTTTTCTTCATTGTCTTTTCTTGCAGAAAATGAGAATAAGTTACTAAAGACATTACTGTGTATGTTTCCTCAACCTATTTATTAAAATAAATTGAGTATAAGAACAATAAAATATTTCTGAGATTCCTCTGAGATCTAATTTAATTGTAGAATCAATGCTGTAAACAGATGCCAGCATATATTCCTGGAAGCATTTACAGTGATATAGCTTCAACAGTGGTACGAACAGGGCAAAGGAAATACCAGAAATGCTGCAGATGTTATTGATTATATGCCTTGGAGAATATTCCACTTTTATATTTTGAAGCCTGTCAATGTAAATCAAAAGGTGGTGATATTGTCAGTAAGACATATTATATAGTCAAAATAATGTGCAGCGACAGCAGTCCCACTATGCTGACGGAGCAGATTGTGTTTTTGGAAATGGAGAAGACATCCATATCACAGTTGAGGCATCATAAACCAGAGGAAAACAATCTGATTTAAACATCTGAATCATTGTGACCTGTGATCCAGATTATGCTGAAAGTCTGTGAGACTGATAGGGCCATATCATCTTTATGTTAAACAGACAGGCTCCTTAAAGTTGAGTTGACTAGTGTGTTTGAACCTAATCTAAGTCTTATTTATGTCCTAGAGATTTGCAGCTTTCATCATTTTTCAGACTTGTAAATCTGAAAGCTTAAGAACAGGAGTGAATACTCAGCAGAGGCAAGCACAGAAATTTTGATTTGAAAGACAACAAGTCAGCATCCATGCTATGGTTAAATATGGTATAGGGTTATGACTCTTCTGCTTTTTAGAAAATTACCTGCAAAAATTCCCTGAAATTTAGATTAGCCTTACAAGTTTGTGTAAAAGTTGTGAGAAAATAGCATGGTTTTTAGTAATTAAAGTATGGTTAATATGCATTTATACCTCAGTTTCCTTGAAATTACACATTATATATATGTACCAAAAGATTTTAGTATATATATATATATAGAGAGAGATTTTCTGTATATATAGCAAAATTGAAAAAACAAACAAACAAACAAACAAACAAAAAAACACAACTGATTGTGGTTTTTTTGTGTGTTTTGCCAAACAATGCTGCCATGTAATCTGTTGCAAATATTTATTTTTAACTTGGCCAATGCATACCAGGATGGCTGAATGCCCATTAGTTATTTTTAAATATTATTTTATCAGTAGATGATCTCTTAAAACAGCAGCAAGAAACAGATCCCATTCTGATCTTGTGTGGTTAAAACAAAGCTCTGTTACTTGTCACCTAATAATGGAAAGATTAATAAGAATATCTGCTTATGGCTAGATACCAGTGGAGATGGATGTGCAATCTTCTTTGTCACCTGTTGGAAAATCCAATAGCTCCCTAGGTTTTAAACATTTAGATTCAAGGAGCTGGCATGACATTCATCTGTAGATCATTAGTTAATAGATAGTTTTTATAATTCATCTGTAGTGACTTATTCAAATGCTTTCTTTTAATAGTTTGTATTAAGTGGAATTAAAAATGACATGCACACAAGAGAAAATGCCAGCTTTCAAAAATCAAAAGCAGACAGTGCATTTTCTGATTCAGTGTTAAGTCTTTATTGGGGAAGAGGAAGGAAAAAGGGACGTTAGGAATGGTGTAGCTTTCTCATTTCACTGTGAATATTCTGTGAATCTGGGGTCTGATACCGATGTCATTCCCATTATGATGAGCTACTGGTCTTTAGGCATGTTTACAGACCCCTAGCATATTATTTTACTTCCCCTCAACAGGCCATCAGATATTTACAGCCCTTACCGCAACGCACATAAAATTTTGATTTATTACAGGTTTTGCATGATTTTTATCTTCTCATCTCTCCTTTTGCCATGAAATTGCTTACACTGTGTGCAGTGAGCTGAAGGAACAGAATCACAAGACGATTAAGTTTGGAAAAGACCTCTGAAGGTCATCTGATCCAACTCCATTCTCAAGCCAGGAAACCTAGAGCAGGTTGCCCAGAGCCATCTCCAAATAGCCTTTGAATATTCCTAGGAAGGGAGACATCCTGATATAATTTTGCTTCCAGGAATGGAATTACTATTGATTCAGACAATTTACAAAGGAGAGAGGCAATTCTGCTTTCATAGGTTTTCTCTGCTGACTTAATTTCAGTGTGAAAATTAAACTTGCTTTAAAAAGTCTTGATTTTATTACCAAATAAAGATAGCTCCAAAGATTTAGAGCTTCTCAGCTAACCCTTGTCCAAATGATCCTCTGTATCTTTACTTCATTCCTCC